GGGCCGTTTTTGGGGGATTTGGGGCGGTTTGGGGTCGTTTTTGGGGGATTTGGGGCCGTTTTTGGGGTCGTTTTTGGGGGATTTGGGGCTGTTTTTGGGGTTTTGGGGCCGTTTTTGGGGTTTTGGGGCCGTTTTTGGGGGATTTGGGGCCGTTTTGGGGCCGTTTTTGGGGTTTCGGGGCCGTTTTTGGGGGATTTGGGGCCGTTTTGGGGTCAGAGGCGCAGGTGGGGGACAGCTCTGGTGACATCACGGAAGAAGGGGTGGCCCAGGGCGGCCTTGGCTGAAATTCTCTTGTTGGGGTCGTAGTGCAGCATTTGCTGGGGAGAAAAACCAGGAAAATGGGAAAAAACGGGGAAAAAAACGGGGAAAAAAACGGGAAAAAAATGGGGAAAAAACGGGGAAAAAACGGGAAAAAAATGGGGAAAAACGGGGAAAAAAACGGGGAAAAAACAGGGAAAAAAACGGGGAAAAAAACGGGGAAAAAAACGGGGAAAAAAACGGGGAAAAACGGGGAAAAAACAGGGAAAAAAACGGGGAAAAAAACGGGGAAAAAAACAGGGAAAAAACAGGAAAAAAACGGGAAAAAAGGGGAAAAAACGGGGAAAAAACGGGGAAAAAAACGGGGAAAAAACGGGGAAAAAATGAGGAAAAACGGAGAAAAAAACGGGAAAAAAATGGGGAAAAACGGGAAAAGATCAGGGGGAAAATTGGGATAAAATCAGGGAAAAAATCAAGGGGAAAAGTGGGAAAAAATCAGGAAAAAAAATAGGGAAAAATGGGAGAAAAGTCAGAAAAAATCGGGGGAAAAAAGTGGGAAAAAGGTGAGGTGGGATAAGAGGGGAAAAAGTGGGAAAAAGTGGGAAAAACGTGGAAAAATTGGGAAAAAATGGGAAAAAAATAGGAAAAGTGTGGAAAAAGGTGGGAAAAATTGGGGAAAAAGCAGCAAAAAGGGGAAAATGGGGGAAAAGTGGGAAAAAATCAGGGAAAAAAGTGGGAAAAAGGTGGGAAAAGCAGGAAAAATGTGGGAAAAGTGGGGAAAATTGGGGAAAAATTGGGAAAAAGTGGGAAAAAATCAGGGAAAAAGGTGGGAAAAATCAGGAAAAAGTGTTAAAAATGGGGGGAAAGTGTGAAAAAGTTGGGAAAAGTCGGGAAAAATTGGGAAAAAGTGGGGGAAAAGTGGGGGGAAATTGGGCAAAATGGGGGAAAAAGTTGGAAAATGGGAGAAAAATGGGAAAAAATTGGGGAAAAATTGGGAAAAAGTTGGGGAAAAATTGGGAAAAAGTGGAAAAAAGTGGGGAAAAAGGGGAAAAATGGGAAAAAGTGGGAAAAATGGGAAAAAAGGGGAAAAATGGGAAAAAACGGGAAAAATGGGAAAAATTGGGAAAAAAATTGGGAAAAAAATGGGAAAAGTGAGAAAAAATGGGGAAAAAAGGGGGAAAATGGGAAAAATTAGGAAAAAAATTGGGAAAAAAATGGGAAAAGTGGGAAAAAGTGGGAAAAGGTGGGAAAAAAGGGGAAAAATGGGAAAAAAGGGGGAAAATGGGAAAAATTGGGAAAAAATTGGGAAAAGAAATGGGAAAAGTGGGAAAAATTGGGGAAAAAATTGGGAAAAGTGGGGAAAAGGTGGGAAAAATGGGGGAAAAGTGGGAAAAAGGTGGGAAAAATGGGGGAAAAAGGTGGGAAAAATCCGGAAAAAATCAGGAAAAAGCGGGAAAAAAGCAGGAAAAAGTGGGAAAAAATCAGGAAAAAGTGGGAAAAATAGGGAAAAAAATTGGGAAAAATTGGGGAAATTTGGGAAAATTTGGGAAAACTTGGGAATGAGCGGCCTCACCGCCAGGAGCTTGCGGCCCTCGTCGTCCAGCGGCGGCAGAACCTTGGCCAGGTCCTGGCGCGCCCAG